CCTCCTACTGTATGCCTTTGACACGTTATTCAGCTAACATGTCCTGACGGCTCCATGCAGAAGGTGAATGTGAAAATACCCTGCCTACTCAGAAGCCATCCCGAGCTGGGGTGGGGCACGGGGTGTGGTCCCCTTGGCCTGTCTCCTTATGACCTTGAATATGCCATGCCTGCTCCCTGGTTGGCTTTTCTCCCTGTCATTGCCACTTAGCATGGCTGCTGCTGTCACAGGTGTGCAGAAAACATTGGCAAGGGGAGCATGGCAGCGCCAACCCCGTCTCAAGCCTCTGCCTGCCAGAGAGACACAGGGGTGAGGGGAGGAAAGGAGGGTTCTGCTTCTGCAACCCCTCCGATATTTGCTGCACCAAGAACCACCTGCAGGACTCAGGCCAGGAGGGATTTGGCCCTTGAACAATCAATGTATCTGTGCCAGTCAGAGTGGACCTGAGTCCTCGGGCGCATGTGGTGGCCACACCAGACTACCTCGGCTCACCTCTGTCTAGGTTCCCACCCTGATGGAGAACCAACCTTTTTTTTTTTTTTTATCCCAATGCAGATCAAACAGTGCTGTGAAGACATGTCCTTCCCAGTTAAACTACTTGCTGGAGCTTTTAGGGACCTCATCATGTTTCTGCCACCTGCAAAACCTAACCCCTTACCCTGAGAAGTTGGAGGTGCACGTGGACCTCACACATGTATTCCCAGTGCTAGTGCTTCTGTGGGAAAGAGTCAGGGATAAATGCTGGCCCAGGGTGATTAAGAATTATGGGTGGGCTCCATGAGGAAGTAGAGGTGACAGAGGCAGAGGGGAGGATGCAGGAGCAGTGCTGGGAGCGCCCTGGAGCTGAGTTGGGTGGGGAAGGGGCCTGGCATGTAGTAGCCCTATCTCCTCCTCTAGCACATGCATGGACAGCTGGGGGTGGCCTCCAGCCACTGTGTCTATTGTCTGCCCTGGGTCCCTCTGTGAACAATATTCATTGGGCCTAGGCAGCTGGCACCCTGGTTGTGCCCACTCTCCAGGCAAGAAGACTGAGGCTCCCCTGAAATCACACAGCTGGAGTGTCCAACACAACAAGCAAGGTGCAGCTCCCCAAAGCCAAGGGGGAAGACTCTCTCACACGCCTGTGTGTGACCCCACAGTGTGCATGGTGTGCAGATGCCGGCATGTGGAAAGTGTGCATGTGAACACAGAAGTATGTATGGTGTGCGGGTGCCTACATGTGGGGAGTATGCGTGAGCACAGAAGTGTGCATGGTGTGTGCAGGCATGTGTGGTGTGTACTCATCTGTGCATGTTGGGTGGGTGGGTTTGCAAGGTTATATACAGTGAATACACAGGTGTGAGATGTGCGTACATGGGTGCTACAGGGGGCTGCCTCTGCCTCTCCTGCTTTGTCACCCTGAGACACTGAGTGGACACTGGCCTTTCAGACTCTGTGACCTGGCTCTGTCCTCCCAGCTGGAAAACCCCAGTGCAACCCCAGCCCTCTGTCCCCACCCTCCATGGTTCCTGCCTGGAGTTAGTGCCCTGCGTGGCACTCTGTAAATGGGGAAGAGTATGAATGAATAGAAACATCTCTCCGATCAGAGGCAGAGGCATTGTGGCCCAGGCTGGGTGCCAGGGTGGCCTCTGAGTCCTCAGAAAGGACAGAGTTCAGAACAGATCCCTGACCCCCACCCTGGTCCCAGCCCAGCCCAGCCCTACCTGAGCCCTGAGGGGCTGCGCTGGACAGGATCCACTTGACCAGGCAGCATCTCATCAGGGCCTGGCGGGTGAACCGCGGCCTCTGCCACTTGACGTCCTCCTTCTTGCTAAGTGGGGTCCGCCCAGGGTCCCCCAGGAGGCTGCCGTCCGATGCCTTCATCCCCTCCTGCAGCAGGAAAAGGCAGAGCAGCTCTGAGCCCTTGCTCACAGAGTGGGTCTCCAGATTGTCCCCAGGTCACTCTGCTATCCTAGGGGAGAGGAGCCTTAACCCCACCCGGGAGCATGCCTTCTAGGTACAGGCCAGGAGCCCCGTGTCCCAGGCTCCCGCCCCCGCACTGGCCATTCCTGCCAGACTTTAGGGGTCTCCTCCACTCTGTATCCTGACTCTGGCCTTTGATGGGTCCCCGGAAGGAGTGAGGCAAGGAGTCCAAAGTGGGGGGTGCCAGCAGTGAGCCCAGATTGCTCGTAGAATCCCCTCCCTGGCTGGATGATCCCTTAGAGATCGCAGTTCAGATCCCTGACTTGACTGAAGCCCAGACAGGGTCACAAGTGAAACTGGGCCTCCTCAATCCTCCTTGCTGCCTCTGTTTTTACCTTGAGGCAAACCGAGAATGAATGAAAGGCTGAGTGACCACCTCAGGAAGGGCATAGTGAGGGGACTCACTGCCTAGGCTGCCCAGTGATCTGAAGAAATCACCCAAGCCATAGATTAGTGGCCTTGGAGGAGGGAGGGATCTGTGGTGGGTATTAAGAGATGGTGGCTTGGCTGGGCACCTATAGCTCAGTGGTCAGGGCACCAGCCACATGTACCAGGGCTGGTGCGTTCGAATCAGGCCTGGGCCTACTAAGCAAACAAACAACAACAACAAAAGTAGTCAGGCATTGTGGTGGGCACCTGTCATTCCAACTACTTGGGAAGCTGAGGTAAAAGAATCTTTTAAGTCAAGAGTTTGAGGTTGCTGTGAGCTGTGATGCCACAGCACTGTACCGGGGGCGGGGGGACAAAAGTGAAACTCTATCTCAAAAAAAAAAAAAAAAGAGAAAGAGAGATAGTGGCTTAAGCCTATAATCATAGCACATTGGGAGGCTGAGGTGGAAGGATCATCTGAAGCCAGGAGTTTGAGACCAGCCTGGGCAACATAGTAAGACACCATCTCCAAAAAAATAAAAATAAATTATCCTGGCATGGTGGCATGCACCTATTGTCCTAGCTACTTGGGAATTTGAGTCTAACGTGAGGCTATGATCATACCACTGCACTTGAGCCTGTCTAGTAAAGTAAGAACTTGTCCCTCAACCCAAAGAGAGAGAGACAGTGGGACATGAGCTCGAGTCCCCAGAGGAGCAAGATTTGTTCTCCTACTACATATTTTGGGCCCCTCAGTCCTGGCTCCCTAAACTGCTCTCCATTCTCCATTCCCATGCTGGCTGCAGAGTGGCTGGCACAGCTCAGGGGAGGGTGGTGCACCGCAGGGTGCGGTCAGCCATGTGGCCCCTTGGGCATCTGTCAGGTAGCTGCTGTCTTTGTGTGTGCCATGCCCTGTCGCTAGGGGCAACAGGTGAGGCTTGGCAATTGGGTCACAGCCCATGGGTGGCCCTTGTGCTCATTCTATCTGCGATGTGCTGCCTGAGTTTCAGTCATGGGAGGGGACCCGACCCTGTGTGGATCTTGGCTCTGAGAGGCTGGGTAGGCTGGCTAGTAATAAGGCCACTTGGGTGGTGGATTGACAATACCCTTCCAGGGTCGTGGGGTCTCATGTGTGCTACCTTTGCACAGTCCTCAAAAGTATTTGGTTGTTCAAAGTGAAACAGACAGAAGTGCCATCAGCGAATCCTGCAGATGCAGCCCCCCCAGACAGCCCCTTCAGTGGTCCGGTTCTCAGGAGCAAGAACCGGAGACTGATCCAGGCTGATTTTAACCAGAAGAATTAGCAGAGGGAGCCCAGAGCAACCACAGCCTCCCAGGAAGGACAAGGATTTGAGTCTGGAAGACAGACCAGATCCAAGAGCAGAGGTAGCCAGACCTTGTCCACATCAATCCATGGCAGAGGCTACAAGAGTGTCTGTACTGCTGCTGAAAACCCTGGCCCCTCTCCCAGGGCTCAGGGCCTGGGATACCCACTGGTCTGCTGCATCCTGAAGGCTCCAGTTAGACGGGACTCCTCCAGATGCTTCATTGGCTCATGGCCCTGTGGGGCCTGTCCACATCTGGGGCGGGGTGGTAGCACTCATGGTCAGTGTTTGGTGAGGGGACTACCTAGGCCGAGTGACATCTAGGCCCCTTCTCCTGGCTTTTGGGCCTTTCCCAGACAGGTCCCAGCAGCCAGTCTCTTAGCTGGTGGATGTAACCCCTACCTCCCCCTCTCCCATACCCAATGGCCCCCCACATAGCCTTCCTTTTGAGGCTCACTCTGGCAATGAGGGGGTCAGTGGTGTCAGAGCTGCAGCAAGTGGGACACTGGCCATCCCAGTGGGGCAGAAGAAGAGAGCTGAGGGTGGGCAGGGAGGGCTGGAATGCTGACAGAGTTTCTCTAAATGCACACTGTGAGTACACGCTCATATACATATGTGAGTACATGTGCACATATACACACATGTGCACATACACGTATGTCCTGCCCAGGCTGGGTCACAGAGGCATCTTTTCCATTTTTAAAAATCTTATTCAGAAGAGAAATGGCCTCAATGAATGAAGTCTTTATTTCAGTCCAGGAGGGGAGTAGAGGAGAGACAGGCTTCATTATTTCATGAATTCTTTGCTGAAGGCTCTGCAGAGCACATCAAAAGGAGGAGAAGCTGAGGTTGCCCCCACTATTTGCTGGGAGTCCACCATCACCCCCTCCCTTGGGACAGTGCTGGTTAGTCACAGGGATCCTGTCTCACAGTCCTGGGCCCTGGCTAGCATGGGAGTGGCCCCACAGTTGTCCTTGGGTTCTATCTGACAAGTGGTCGTGTCCTCCTGGGAAGGTCAAGTGAGCCTACAGTGCAGGCTGACAGCTCCATAGTGTGTGTCTATTCTGAGCCCCAAGTCATGATGTTGCCAATACCACCCCCATTTTACAGATGAGGAAACTTAGTCTCTGAGATGTTTTGTGGCTGAGAGGGCCACACTCTGCATGTGATCTTCTGTTTCCAGATTTCAGGCGGTCTTGGTCTCTGTGGCTATACCAAGGCCAGGTCCTTGGGCAGAGCTCAGAAGTTTCGAGGAGGAATGGTTCTCAAGCCCCAATCATATTAGCAGGCTTTCAAGAGTAACTATTTAAAATGTCATGATGCCTTCCTGGGCTGAGAAGCCCCAGTGTGATTTTTCTCCCTGGTGAAGAAGGTGAGGTGGTGGTGGAAGCACTGGGCCAGGCTCCTCTACTTGGCTGAGGGGCCAGGAGCCCTCCTGGGACACCCTCCCTTGGTGAGGTGGGCAGTGGGTCCCAGAGAGAAGGGGCAGGAAGGGGCCCAGCAGCTGAGCTGGGCAGGACTGCACAACCACCCAAGGAGCTGAGGCCTATGCACTGGGCCCTCAGGCTGTGGGGGAGGGAAAAATGACCGCTGGGTCATCCTCATGAATATTTGACACTTGTCTGTCTGGGAGAGGGTCTGACTGAGCTGTCAGTGAATGTTAAATAGCCACTCTGGACACCCTCCTCCCGACTGGAGGCTCAAGGGCACCAAAGGGAAGGAGCCCTGACAGACACCCCCTCGGCCCTCACCCACAGTGCCTCTGTACAATAGGTAAGAAAGTAGAGGGGGGCCTGGGACCCTGATATGCCCAGAACAGGAATTAAATGCCCTCCCACCCCTGCTGGGAGCCCCTGTGCTTCATCTCAGACTCTGCTCCTCACACAGGCTGCACTGGTTCCCACATGGCTGCCCCTGCTGCCCTTGCTGCTCCCCACTCCTCCCTGCACCCAACACTTCTCCCCCAGGTCCGAGGCTCAAGGCTCCCTGGTGCCAGATCCTCCCCGTGCACCTCCGTCTGGGACTTCCCAGCACCTCCTCACAGTGCCCCTCCCTTTCCAAGTGATCCTATTCTTTTGTCTTCTGGTGCGTCTCTGTCTCCTCCCCCAGCATATCAGCTCTGTGAGAGGGGCCCTGGCCTGGGGGTAAGCTGCTCCTCCCCATCACAGAGTCCAGCTTGGGAGAGGCCCCACTCCCCAAACCCAACAGTAAAAGAGCAAACCATCCCGTTAGAAAGTGGCCAAAAGACAAGCACAGACATTACACCAGAGAGGACATGAGGTGGCACATAAAGCACATGAAAAGATGCTCAGTGTCCCTAGCCATCAAGTAAATGAAAACCACCATCATATACTCTATGTGCCTATCCAAACTGCTAATGTAAAAAATAGCGACAGCATCAAATGCTGGTGAGGATATGGAGAAACCAGATCACTTCTACACGCTTTATCTGCTCTGCAGAACAGTCTGGCAGCTTTTTATAAAACTAAACATGCAACAACCATACAATCCGGCAATTGCACTCTTGGGCCTTTATCCCAGAAAAATGAAAATTTATGTTCAAATCAAAACTCGTACACAAATGTCCATAGCAGCTTTAGTTTTAATAGCCCCAAACTGGAAACATCCCACATGTCCTGTAACAGGTGAATGATTAAATAAACTCTATTCCTACCATAGAATTCTAAACAATGAAAAGAAACAAACTATTGACACATACAACAACCTGGATGAATCTCCCGAGAATAATGCTGAACAGAAAAAAGAAAGCCTATCTTCAAAGGTCACAACTGTGTGATTCTATTTTTATAACATTTTGAAATGACAGAGTTTGAAAAATAGAGAACAGATTAGAGGACCAGGGGTTAAGTATGGCAGGAGGGGCGGGAAGGAGGGTGCGTGTGGCTGTAACAGGGTACAGGAGGGGTTCTCCTGGGGACAGAGCTGTTCTGTATCTTGATTTTTCTGGTGGATACAGAAGATGACATATCTGATAAAATTGTATAGCTCTAAACACACACACAACACATACATGAGTGTGTGTAAAACTAGGGAAATCTGAGTAAGATCAGTGAATTCCATCACTACCAACATTCTAGTTGTGATACTGTACTGTATTTTTGTAAGATGCTACCACTGGGGAAATTGGGTAAGGACACATGGGATCTCTCTGTGTTAGTTCTTACACCTGCATGTGACTCAATCTACAATTGG